CGGTTGCACCGACCTGGATTCGGCTCGTACTACAAGAACATAGAACATAAGAAAATAAGGAGTCTGCAATAGGCCGGTTGGCCTGTGCATGGCAGCTCCTGTCGAGAGTTACTACCACTCTCCATCATCCACGAATCTATGTAGCCTCCTTTTAAAACTTTCCAGCGTTCCAGCACTTACTACAAAGTTGCTAAGCTTGTTCCATTCGTCCACCACCCAATTTGTGAACCAGTTCCTTCCTATCTCCCTCCTAAACCTAAACTTATCCCACTTAAATCCGTTGCTATGAGTCCTATCCTGCTCAGATATTTTAAGAACTTGATCTATATCGCCTTTATTGATTCCTTTCACCCACTTAAATACTTCTATTATATCTCCCCGCACTCTTCGTCTTTCTAGGGAATGCAAGTTTAGTTTCTTTAACCTATCTTGATATGGAAGGTTTCTAAGTCCTGGAATCATTTTCGTCATTCTTCACTGCACCGACTCCAGTGAATTGATATCCATTCTATAATAAGGGCACCAAAACTGAAGCACATAATCGAGGTGCGGCCTGACTAGCGCAAGATATAGTTGCAATAAGACCTCTGCACTCTTATTACTTACACTTCTAGATATAAAACCTAATACTCTGTTTGCCATATTTCGAACATTAACGCACTGTTTTCTAGGCCGTTGGTCCGGGCTTACAAGTACCCGTAAGTCTCTTTGACAAGTCGACTTCTCTAGGTTGATGTTGTTCAGGCTGTATACATTGCCAGTATTTGTTCTTCCAATGTTAAGTACACTGCACTTGCTGGTGTTGAATTTCATTTGCCATTTTGCTGACCACTCCTGCAGTTTATTTAAATCCTCCTATAGTGCATTTGCATCCTGCCCTGAATTAATCTGCCGCCCTATTTTGGAGTCATCCGCAAACTTGCTTAATGCTTATGTCACTGCTAATCCCAGTATCTAGATCGTTTATGTAGATTATGAACAAGCGTGGGCCCAGTACTGACCCCTGGGGAACCCCACTGATTATACAACCCCACTCAGATTTAACACCATCTCCGCTGACCCTCTCTGTTCTATCGGTGAGCCATGATTTTATCCAATTTAAAACTTTCCCCGAGATGCCATGAGCCTTAACTTTTCTCAGAAGCCTCGGATACGTTACTCTGTCAAACGCTTTGTTAAAGTCTAAGTAAATAACATCGGAATTTTCGTCATTATCTACTACCTGAAAAACGTCAGCAGATCTGTTAGACAAGATTTTCCCTTTGTAAGCCCATGTTGAGAGTCGTAGATTAATTTGCTTTTCTCTAAATGATCGGATGCTATTTGCTATAATTGATTCAAGAAATTTCCCAACTACTGACGTCAAACTAATCGGCCGGTAATTTGACGCTGATGCTCTGTCTCCCTTTTTGAATATGGGTACTACATTTGCCTGTTTTCACAAGTCTGGCACAACTCCAGTGTCTAATGATTTCAAAACTCTAGGGAAAATTTCATCTGGCCCTGGGGATTTTTTTTAAAATTTATTTATCTTCTTAAGAACATCCTCTTTTCTGATAGTTATATTCCTTAATTTCTCTTCTTCATTTCCCTTAAATATCAGTTCCACCTCTGGAATTTCCTCGTGAATTTCTTCTGAGAAAACTGATAAAAAGTAGCTGTTTAATGCTTTGCTTATTTCTTCACTGTCATCCATCACTTCCCCCCTCCCTGACTTTAAAGGCCCAACTTTGTTCTTGACCTTTGTCCTATATACCTGGAAAAATCCCTTGGGATTCGCCTTGGATTCTCTTGCTATCCTGATTTCATAGTCCCTCTTTGCCTTCCTTACATTTTTCTTAACATTCCTAGATAGTTAATTATACCTATTTCTGAGCTGCTCCTCCCTCCCTTTATTTTTGTTTATAAATTCCTTTCTTTATTCTTATGTCATGTTTAAGTTTTCTGGTCATCCACCTTGGCTCATTCTTATTTGACCTAATTTTTCTGTATGGTATATTTTGTTCATGTGCTTTACGTAGTATACGAGTGAATATATGATAGTCATGATCAATTGTTGTGTCACCTGTGACCTCACCCGTTCCTACTGGGGACTGACCTGACTGTTCCCAGGCGACCTCACCTAGGTACAATCTTAACCCCTGATAATCCGCCAATCGAAAGTTTGGGTCTCTGACCATATCAACATTTTTGTTTCGTTTCCCAATTTAGGGTGAATCTGATTTCTCTGTGATTACTGTTCCCTAGTTCTTCCCCTATTGTGATATCACTGAAAATATTTTCTTTATTTGTTAATACTATGTCTAATATATTGTTACCTCTAGTAGGTTCTGTAATTAGTTGTTTCAAAAAATTGTCCCGTACTGCGTCTAGGAAGTCTTCAGATTCATAATCACCTACAATTTTGTCCCAGTCAATATTTCTGAAGTTGAAATCCCTCATAATGCACAGGTTGCTATATTTTGCTGCCCTACTCATTTTCTGCCATATGGGCCGAGCTGCTTTTTTTCCCTAGACTTGGGGGCCTGTAAATCACTCCCATAATTAGTTTTCTCTTCCTTCCGCAATTTCTTCCCATACAGATTCGGTTCCTATTTCACCCTTCATTGAATTATTGATTCAGCATTTTAATTATCCCTGACGAAGAGTGCCACCCCTCCTCCCTTCCTACCTTCTCTGTCCTTGTGAAAAAGGTTGTACCCTTCTATGTGGTACTCTGATAAAAAGTTTTTGCTTGCCAGATTCATCCAAGTTTCGGTGATTGCTATGACATCTACATTCTCGGTACTTACAACCCCTCTCAGCAAGTCTATTTTTTTTAACACTCTACTGTTTGTATAGTATACACTTAAACCTACTCTTCCCTGGTTCTGTTTTACCCCTTGTCCTGAGTAACCAATTTTACTTCCAAGGACCTGCTTGTTTTTTCTCCCACTTACCCTGACCTCACTCGACTGGCGAAACGCCCCCCCCCCCTTCTGAGTGACAATTTCACACACCAGGGATGCAGATAACGTCTTTACCCCGGCGCGAGACAAGTGTACCTCGCCACGACTGTACAGGCAGTCGTTGCCTTAGAATGGTTGCAAGTTATCAATGAATGCCCAACCATTGCTTGCACAATGTTTTTCCAGTCGGTAATTGCCTTGGACAGCCATTCACGACCAACTCCTCTTCGAGGCAAGACACCACATACTATCGGGATCCCTCCCCTATCTCTAACCTTCCCTAGCGCCTCCCTATACCTCATGAAAAGTTCCTCACTCCTAACCTTTCCTATGTCGTTACCTCCTACACTACAGGTAAGACAAACTACTGGCTTGGTACCCTCCCCTGACAAAACTCTATCTATCCTCTCAGCTACATGCCCTATCCCAGCCCCAGGATAACACACCATAGTCCTACGTTTCCTATCTCTTGCACAAAAAGTTATATCTAAGAACCTCACCTGGCTGTCCCCAACTACCACGACCTTACTACTGGGCAGGGTTTGAACAACTGCCCCTTTCTCTCCTGGCACCACACCGTTCTGCCTCTTTTCTTCCTCGCCAGCTTCCTCCAACACTTTGTAGGGGTTACTGCACTCCACACCCTGGTCAGCTTTCCTGAGTCTGACCCTAGTCCCCTTGGCGACAACCACTCTCCACGCCTGCTCCTCCTTCGCAGGTGGCCTGCTAGGCAGGACACCTACCTGAAGGAGTTCAGTCCTGAGGGTTTCGTTCTCCCCCCTTAAAACGTCTATCTCTCTCCTTAACTGCTCCAGCTGACTTAACAGAGTGGCCAGGGGGTCGTCTTTCCTCACACACCGTCCCTCTTCCCCCACAACACAACGATCCACGGCGGCCATTTCCTATGGTCACTAACACGAGCATTTAGGGGCACGTCCTTCTCTAAGCTAGGTCAGCCTCGTGGCTCTCTCATAGAAGCCTTGCATGACCAAATAAGGCCTTACTAACTCGTGTTATCAAATTAGGAATTGTTTACAGAACAATTATTTAGAACAACCTTTGTAATCTGATATTTAGTAAAGTGTAAAATAGCATTATTACATTTACTAATTATGATATAACATTCTTGTAACAGTTTTCTTTTAATCAGAATGACATGTACTGTAACCGCCAATCAGACGGTTAGAGGGTGAATAATACTTCTCACGTCGTACACGAACATTATAATTCGGTCAAACCTGTTGAATACAATTCATTTAGTATTTCAAGTAAGTCATACATAGGCACTCTTACAGTCTTACATAAATGTTAAATCCAATATATATTTACATAACAATCATGGCTATGTAATTAGTCTAATCTTAACACAAACACAATGACACAGTCTACCTGTGTACACAATAAGTACTAGTTAAACTTACGTGTTGAAAGTCTAGAGAGAAGCCAGGGTAGGTGTTGACTCTAAGATATGGGTAGCTATACTGAAATGCCCACCCTATAGCCTGGCCCCTTGGCTGGTCAGCTATGGCTGAGTCAGGTGATTATAATTATACATAAACAAACTCCCTTCACACCCTCCAACCTCCTTCTGGGCCTCTCATCTTCAACCATCTCAACACTCTACATTGTGAGTTACAGCCTAACAAAACATTTGTTTATATGTCATCATAATTATGTACCGCTTGCGGTAACACCCACTCTGTTGAGCGTTCACGCTCAAAACCAGATCAGGCCTTTGATACTTAAGTTTGTCATGTTCATGCGACTATGCTGCCCTCAGGCTGGTGGTATTTAACTTTGTCACGTCCTTGTGACTAAGGTGCCCTCAAGCTGGTGGTATTTTAACTTTAATTTTGTCACGTTATTGTGACTATGCTGCCCTCAGGCTGGTGGTATTTAACTTTAATTTTGTCACGTTCTCGTGATTATGCTGCCCTCAGGCTGGTGGTATTTAACTTTGTCACATTCCTGTGACTAAGCTGCCCTCAGGCTTTTGATACTTATCAGTTCCTTAGGACATCTCGGTCCTTTGACGTTCGGACATCACCATCTTCATGTGTGGATACCCAATTCATTCTCTTGGCTGACTCCGTCAACCCTTTCCATTGCTCCCTCCAACAAGCATAATTTTGTCACAGGTCGCAACATTGTGGACGTCGACGTCTTTACCACTGCCTGTCGGACAAGTCCATCCGCGCCAGCCTTGACTTCCATCACTCGACCAAGGTGCCATTTGTTGCATGGACTATTTGCTTCTGCTATAATGATTAGGTCACCAGGGCGAAAGTTGCGCGGTGGTCTGAAATGCACTTGTCGAGTTCTGAGTTGAGGGAGGTACTCCGTCAGCCAGCGCTTCCAAAATTGATCTGCAAGGTACTGGACATGCTTCCACCTTCTGTGGTATGATTCGCCTATTGACCTTCCACCTAAGGGAAGATTACCCTTTTGACTTAAGTGCAAAAGATCAGCAGGAGTGAGAGCCTTTGGTTCATTTGGAGTGTTTGGAACCGGGGTGATTGGCCTACTGTTAACTATGGCTTCCACTTCACAGAACAGTGTTTGCAGACGTTTATCGTCTAAAACTTGTGAGCCCACAATCGCCTGCAGAACCTTCTTTACTGTGCGAATCTGCCTTTCCCATACTCCCCCCATGTATGGGGCAGCTGGTGGATTGAAGACCCAGTCAATATCTGCTTTCAGTAAGGCACCTCTGAGTCTGTCATCTTGCTCCCAACTTTTCACTTCCAGTTTGAGCTCTTTGGCTGCCCGTACCATGTTTGTCCCATTATCCGACCTAATACGCTCTGGTGTACCTCTGCGTCGTGAGAACCTTGTTATTGTGTTGAGGAAGGCATCTGCGTCTAATGAGGCCAAGACTTCTAGATGAACAGCCCTAATAGTTAGACATGTAAACAGACATCCCCAGCGCTTAACCTGTTTCCTCTCTACCTTGATAATGAATGGACCAAAACAGTCCGTTCCAGTGTAAGCAAATGGAGCCTTTCCAGGAGTGACACGATCTATTGGTAAGTCAGCTTGCCTTTGATGCCGACTTCTCCAGTTGTTCCGTCTGCACACTACACAGCGTCGTATGATTCTATCAAGCAAGCTTCTGCCCTGGGGAATCCAATACCTTTGCCTCTCACACGCCATCGTGTGTTCTCGTCCGGCATGTCCGGCTCTCTCTTCGTGCATCTCCCGCACTATGATTTCGGTGATGTGGTGGTCTCTAGGCAGCAAGATTGGCTCCTCACCACTTCGCCCAAGAAGGGTTCCTTTAATTCTTCCCTTTGATCTGAGCAACGTTCGCTCGTCCAAGTAAGGTTCCAGTTTATATAGCTTATTGTCCCTCGGCAGCTCACCCTTTATGACAGTTTGGATTTCTTTCTCATAAGCCTCTTTCTGCACCAATTTTATAATTGTCTGCTCAGCCGACTGTAGTTCCTCAGTGCTTAGACTCTTCAGTTTGAGGCGCAGGTCTGCGGTCCTTGTACTGGACCCAAGCCATCAAATGAACCTCTTAATCCATGCCACCCCTTTCACAAAGCGGTACCATGGTGAGTACCTGAGCCACAGTTTGGCGAGGGACCACTTTGACTGCTTGCTCACTGCCAGAGCAACTACAGATCTCTGGTGTACTTCTCGTTTCACCTCCGGTAAGTCGTTCAGAACTGCTGGCAGTTCCTTTCCCTTTGGCCACCGTTCTTCAACACTGAGTAGAAAGTCAGTACCTCGTATCCACCGAGATCCTGCAACCAGGTCCAGGACAGGTAATCCCCTAGTTGCATCATCTGCTGGGTTCAGCAATGTGCCGACATGTCTCCACTGGTCAGTTCTTGACAGCTCTTGTATGACTGCTATCCTGTTGGCTACAAACGTTTGAAATCGTCTGCTCGAATTGGCGATGTACTGCAAGACTAGCATGCTATCCGTCCAAAAATAAGATTCGTGTATGGCCATGGTCATTTCTCGGCGAATCGTTCGATCAGCGTTCACTGCCAGGACAGCTGCACAAAGTTCCAGCCTTGGTATTGTCAGTTGCTTGAGTGGGGCCAGCTTGGCCCGTCCGTACACGAAAAAGCACCGGATACTTCCGCCAGAGTTTACCATTCTCAGATAGGTCACCGCACCGTAAGCAGCCTGCGATGCATCGCAGAAGGTGTGCAACTATGCTGAGATGATTTCTTTAGCACATGCTGTTTTTAGGCATCTGGGTACCCTTAATTTCCCTAGGTGGGCCAGTTCTCCTAGCCAGGTGCTCCAGGTCGTGTGATTAACAGTCGACAAAGGTTCGTCCCACCCTAATCGCCGCCTGCATTCACACTGAAATAATATTTTAGCCCTGATGATGAATGGGGCCACGAACCCCAGTGGGTCATAAATAGAACTGACCAGGCTTAGTACTCCTCTCCTGGTCGCTGGCCTTGAGTTAGGTTGCACCTTGATGGCGAGCTGATCACCTTCCAGGAGCCACCTAACCCCCAGGGCTCGCTCCATTGGCAATTTGCCTTGCCTCAGATCAATTTCCTTCAGTGCATTTTGCCTCTCCTCCGGTGGGATGGTAGCCAACACTCCTTTGTGATTACTGGCCCACTTAGTTAACCGAAATCCTCCACACGCCAACAGTCTTCGAAGCTGACACTCTAACATTGATGCTTCATTTGAGGAGTCCAGCGACATGAGCAGGTCGTCAACGGAGAAGTTGACTTCCGCTTGCGCCACCATGTCGGGAAACTCGGATCTGTGGTCTTGGAATGTGCGCCGGAGAGCGTAAGTTACATATGAAGGGCTCCACATCCCACCAAAGATGTGCACCTTCATCCTGTAAGTTACTGGCTCTCTACTCAGGTCCCCATTCTCCCACCAGAGGAATCTTAACGCATCTCGATGTTCTGGCGCTACATGGATTTGATGGTACATCGCCTCCACATCTTCCATGATGGCTGTAGTTCCTTGGCGAAACCTAAACAGAACTCCAAGTAATTTGTTGTTGAAGTCTGGACCTTGTAGTACCTGGTCGTTCAGCGATATCCTTTTGTGTTTGGCGGCACAGTCAAAAACTATGCGTACTTTGTTTGGCTTATTAGGGTTCAACACCGGGTGATGAGGCAGATACCAGACCAGTCCAGTATCTGACTCCAACTGGCACTTAGGCACTGATTCAGCATATCCTTCAGCAAGCAGTTTATTTATTTCCTCTACGTTTCCTTGTCGCAGCCGTGTGTCCTTGGATAGTCTCCTTCGAAGCCCATCTAGTCAACGCTCCGCCACGGCCTTGTTGTTTGGGAGTTCCGTGTTCTCATTACGGAACGGTATGGGAAATTGGTAATGACCATTAGTTTGATGCCTGTCTCTGACCATAGCCTCAACACTCTTTTGTCCTCAAGTGAATGAGCTGCTGACTGCAAGGCTCCTGTGTCCCCACTTTCCAGCTCCCAAAAAAGCTTAACTTGTCTTTCCAGACGGGTTTCAGGACTCACGACAGTTTCGGTCATCAGGCATCCTGACATGCAAACTCATTGTGCGTCTTGGTGCCCCACCGGTCCATTTACTGTCCAACCCAGTCGCGTTTTTATGGCGAATGGCATTCCATCCCTTCCTGCTCTGACCTCCAAGGTACCAGGGCCTGTGGGACATCTTGTCCTATCATAATTTCTATGCTGTTGCTCTACAATTCTGGTAATTCCACACCTCGCAGATGGGTCCACCTTGAGATATCACTTGTGTTCGCTACGGAGTTGTGCAGCGTTGTGGGGAAATTTTGTATAATGAGTACTTTCGGGATAAGTATGGTTCTGCCTCGTTCATGCCTGCGCCAACCACTTCTAGATCTATCTCCGCTGACTCGAGTATCATCTCTTGGCAAGTGTACCCATGGTTACCAGGGTAGGTGTCCCTTTCATCCTTAGTTTCTGTGCCAGATCTTTGGTGCAATACGACCTGTCGCTGCCTGAGTCCAAGAGAGCTAAAGTTCTGATGTGATTTCGTTGGTGTGAGTCCTTTCCCCGAATCTTCCCACTCACTATGGGCAGTACAATCTTGGCATTTTTTGTCGATAGTCAGATGTTGCTTTCGCAGCTGTATGGGTTTTCATGGGCGTCCTTTGTCCCTGTAGCATAGACATGGCCTATTTTTCCGGCCATGTACGAACTGTCGTTGGCTTTCTGGGCCATGCCACCATCAGAGGTGCCTGCCACTGACTCCTGTTTCACGATACCTTGAAAATTTCGCTTTACACCACCCTTGCGTGTGTTTGACATACTTGCAGTAAGTGCCTCCCTTCGTTCTTGATGCAACAGTCTAGAATGCTTCTCTTTCCACCCATCAGTGCCACACCTGAAGCGTGACCAACACTCAGCAACAAGGTGGCCCACTCTCAGACACAACAAAGAGCAACGTAATCTTTTACCCTCTCTAACCTCTCCCTCACTGACATGCTCCAGAATTCGTCGCACCCTGCTAATCCATGTGCTCTGGAACACACTGGGCACGAGCCTTTTCCAGAGCTTGTTTCTCCTCTATTGCCTTTCGCTTCACTGATAGTCACTAGGCCCACGGCACGTTTGCTTGACGATGATCCTTCTGGTCTTTTCTTACTTCCTTCTTGACTGTCCTCGCTTGATAGCAGAGCCATGTCATCCATCGTTACCGCTTTCTCCTCCAAATATAGCGCTAACCACTTCACCAGCCCTGTTCTGTGTCCTGTCGACTTCTGATAATTTCGTACATCATCCACACAGCGTTCCCTCAATTTGGGGGGAAGCTTAATCACCAGCGTTCTGAAGGTCTGCCTTGTTTGAAGTTCAGACATCAAGTTCAAATTCTCCAGATGGCTTACTGCACCCCATAGCTGAGATGCCAGTTTTCACAGCCCTTCGTCGTCGAACGCCCCCCACTGAGCGAGCGTCTATGAACCTTTTTACCAGCTGGTCCGCATATGCATACTTATCTCCAAACCTTGCCTCCAGGATCTTGATTGCCTTGTTGTAGGCTCTGTCTGGCTCTAGATAGTCGCATCCCATGATTGCTTGATGTAACTCTTCTCCTTCACAAGCATCCATGAGCAGTTGGTACTTGTACTTCTCTGGCACGGCCGCATTTGTCATGTATCGACGGAAGGCATGCATAAAGGTCCAAAACTCCGCCCACCCTTGTCCTTTAAACTTGGGAAGGGTGGCTTGCGGCATGCGCATCGTAGCCACTAGCTCTCTTATTTCTTCACCCTTCTCTGATTCTCCCTGTGGATGCATAATTGTGACTTGAGGCGCTTTGTTTGCAAGTATTGGCGGTAAAGACGATGCCATTTTCTCGACATTGACCGATGCCTGTTGCTGGGTTTCTTCCCGTACTATTGGCTTCTCATAATTGCTGGAGTTCTCTGTCGAAGGCTGTGAGCTGTCACTTCTTCGTGTTAGTGCTGATGTCTCTTGACCCGCCACCATTCCAGTGTGCATCGTTTTCATCCACCCTGCCTTAAGCTCTCGCAGGGCTCGGTTTACTTCATCCGACGCTGCCTCAGCTCTGGCCACTGCTTGTTGATAATACAATTACCTACTGTGACCCTCCCGTGGATCTCCTGGTATTGCAAGCTCATTTCCTGTTTCACCACTCTCTGATTGTACCTCGGCGGGCGGATCCATTGGCATTAGGTCAAAATGTTTGCTTCTATCTAGGTCCGAATCTCCTTCCATGTCATCAATATACCCAATCTCCGACATCTTGCTCATTCAGGTAATTTGAATTGCGTTCGTTTCCACCACTCTTGAATCAGGGCTCGTTCGTGTGCCTCGTCATACACTCGCACCTGATATCATTACAGACTTTACATTGATATTTGGGTTATTTACAAAGCAATATCACTTCAGTCAATTATGACTGCTAATTGTGTTCTGCACTTAACAATAATGTCATAGTGTTTTCATTCCCATATTCACTACACTGGGAGTGATGAAGATCACCCAGACAAGACTATTTTCTGGACTAACAAGGTTTAACTATTATCGATGTGAGAAGTACACGGACTTTGCACTGCACTTACTCACCACTGGATACACACACATCCACACCCACACGCTACACTAAGAGTGGCTGAGCTCACTCTGACAACATTATTTTCTTCAATAACAAAATGTTCAAGTATTATCGCCACTATAAATCTACGGGCGTTGCACTGTAATCCGTGGCACTGGGAACACGCGCGCGCGCACGCACACACTCACGCACACAGTGACCCGCATCCCTCCAGTAGGTTGAGTTGAGTTGGCCTTGGTTACTGCTGCCCGCGCGTTGGTTCAAGGTAGCACCGCTACACAGTAGACATTCACGTTTGACTGTAACCGCCAATCAGACGGTTAGAGGGTGAATAATACTTCTCACGTCGTACACGAACATTATAATTCGGTCAAACCTGTTGAATACAATTCATTTAGTATTTCAAGTAAGTCATACATAGGCACTCTTACATAAATGTTAAATCCAATATATATTTACATAACAATCATGGCTATGTAATTAGTCTAATCTTAACACAAACACAATGACACAGTCTACCTGTGTACACAATAAGTACTAGTTAAACTTACGTGTTGAAAGTCTAGAGAGAAGCCAGGGTAGGTGTTGACTCTAAGATATGGGTAGCTATACTGAAATGCCCACCCTATAGCCTGGCTCCTTGGCTGGTCAGCTATGGCTGAGTCAGGCGATTATAATTATACATAAACAAACTCCCTTCACACCCTCCAACCTCCTTCTGGGCCTCTCATCTTCAACCATCTCAACACTCTACATTGTGAGTTACAGCCTAACAAAACATTTGTTTATATGTCATCATAATTATGTAACGCTTGCGGTAACATGTACATTCACATAAAATCCTAAGTTCTATATAACGAAAATCTGTCAAAGCTTCTCGAAGGTTCCTTATGACGCATTATGACTCCATATCTTTGGTAATGACGGATACAAGCTGTGGGTTGCCATCTTATATCTTCCACCATTGGAGACATACATGCCTCATCTGTCTTTGGATACAGACGTGTTATAGTCGAACTTACCATAGACAATTGTTACAACTGTCATTTGAGTGCGAATGTTCATACGCCCATACTGGGCAATCCCGTTTACACCCAACCCCTATTGCTCATACATCCGTCAAACCTATTTTTGAAGCTACTCAGCGTGTTCGAGTTAATGGTGATGATTCGTAACTTGTTCCACTCATCCACTACTATATTTCCAACCCAGTGTTTACCTATCTCGCGCCTAAATCTAAATTTGTCTAATTTAAAACCATTGTTACAAGTTCGCTCCAGGTTGCATAGTTTTGGTACCTTTGTTATATCATCTTTGTTAAACCTGACATCCATTTATACACCTGGATCATATTGCCCCTCACTCTACGTTTCTCAAGGGAGTGCAAATTCACTTGATTTAATCTGTCTCAATACTTAAGGTTCCTAATGCCCGGGATTATTCTTGTCATCCTCCGGGATACGATAGCCATTATGTAGTACGGTGACCAAAACTGAACTGCTTGGCTTGGTTGGTTTGGGGATTTCTGGTCATTTCGCCTTTCGGCCATTTCGTCCCGAGCTGTTGTCTTCTTTCTTCGTTTTTCTTTTGCATCATTTTTGGTGTTTTTCCATTCTTGATCTTCATTCTTGTGCTTTATTACTTTGATGGTCTTCTTTCTCCTTGGCTTTGTAGTTTTGGTTTTTGGTTGTGATGGGTTATGGTATGAATGGGTGATATGATGGTGAATCAATGACAGTCCAGATGAAATGACCAGGCAAGTGAAACCTTTCTCTGATAGATATATATATATATATATATATATATATATATATATATATATATATATATATATATATATATATATATATATATAGATATATATATATATATATATGTGCGTGTTGTAAGTAGTGGAAATGTCTATGATTTGTGTCTTGTGTTGTATGTTTTCCATTTTCTTTATTTATTTTTATTTTGTATTTATTTTTATTGATTTGCGACATTTTTACAGACATGAAAATCAGACGTTGCGTGTGCCATTTACTGTACATCGTGCTGATAACAAGAGTATTACAGAGTCACTTATGGTGACATCATCTTGCACTAGGCCTGGTCGCCAGCATAGCCAGCCGTCGACTTTTTGGTTCGTCCTGGCTGCACTCTGTCAAAATGTGTTTAACAGATTTAATTTTGTTTTAATCGGTACAGATGGGAGGAAAAGGGTTATCTATGTAAGATTTTAGGTGTGGCAAATAGGTGCAATTTAACCTTTATCTTGCGAGAACCACCTCTTAATTCCTGTTCTCTCTGTATGCTGACGGATAGTTTCCAATGTTAATCTTGCAGTTGTTGCGAAGATTTAAACTGGTCCATTCCACCTGCCACTTGCTTGTTGTATACTCGTATGTCTTCCCAAGGAGAAATACGACTGCCGCTCCCAGGGTACATTGGTTGTCTCTCTGAGACACATCGTGTTCATTGC